TCATAGCGACCCTATGAACAAAAGGCTTGAAGCCGTTCTTCAACTATTGACATTTATCAAAGTTCATAGAGTTTCCAGAGGCATGTTGTTTAGGAAGTGGATGCCACTCCTGCCTCCCAGAGCACTGCTTTATATGGTGCTGGAAGATGAGTCCCTCACATGACTTCACAATGGAAATCACAATGTGACTGAGGATAAGCTGCCTCCTTGAGGTAGAATCTACCTTAATGACTCCATGAAGTAAATTTTCATACAATATGAGATGTATATACAATGTGTGAATGTGGCAAGACTCCAAATGCGAAGAGCAGCTGCAAACATCCATTAATATTAGGAACATGAAATGTATGAAGTATGAATCTAGGAAATTGGAAGTGGTAAAAAAATGGAGTTGACTTAATAAACATAGACATCGTAGGCTCTGATGAAATGGACTGGTACCAGCCATTGCCGAAACTGACAGACTGGTAAGGAACAGTGTCAGATTCCTTGAATCTTGAGGTACAGCACTATCAGTGACCAGTTACTATTCAAAAACATACTGCGAATACTTGTTATTACAACTATTACTAAAACATACGCACCAACCACTAAAGCCAAAGATGAAAAGAAAAAATTGAGGTTTTCTCCCTATTTCTTGTAGAAAATAAAGAGAACTTGAAGCACTTGCTACAGAAGATCAAAGATGATGGCCTTCAGTATGGACTACATTTCAATATCAAAAAATCAAAAATTCTAACCACTAGAAAATAGGCAAAAACATAATAGATGGAGAAAAAAGAATGAAGTTGTTAACAATTTCATTTTACTTGGATCCATAATCAACACCAATCATAAAGCAGTTGAGAAATCAAAAGATGTTATATTGAGAAAATATGTCAAGGACCTCTCCAAGATGCTACAAATTAACAATGTCTGTTTAACAATTAGGGTATGTCTGATACAAGCCACTGTATTTTCAATTGTTTCCTGTGATGCACCTGAAAGATGGACAATGAATAAGAATGACAGATGATGGATTGCTCCTTTTTTATGCTGTTAATTTCATTATGACTCACAGCTACCCTATGAACAATGGATCTATACATTGCTTTACCCTGTGCCATCTTCAATATGCTAGAGCCCATTGTTACAATCACTGGGCCAATTCATCTTTTTTTGTGATTTTCCTCTCTTATACTGACCTAGAAATGACTTCTTTTAATTATGAAAGCCAAAACATTTGATTGCACTTATGCAAAATCTGTATTTGGACCAAGAGGCAGAGCAGAGCAAGGAAACACTGCATGTTATATGAGACCTAGTGGTAAAAAATTACTTTAAAACAAAGAAGAAGGGGAGCTCTGGTGGCCTAATGGCAAGAAGTTGCACTGCAATCCCAGAGGCACAAGGTTCAAATCCACCAGATGCTTTGCTGGGGAAGGAGGGACAATCTCCTCCAGTACCAATCAGATCTGATTTGACGGTACACACACACACACAAACAAAAAAAAAAAAAAAAGAAGAAGAAGAAGAAGAAGAAATTGCAGTAAAAAATTATTTTAAAACAAAGAGGAACTTGTAAGGAGGCAAAGAAACTACATTAATGTGAATAAAGCAACTAGAATGGATACAATAAGAATTTTCACACCTTGTGAAGAATCTGGTCAATGTCATTAACAATTCATGTAGAAATTGTTGAATGCAAATCCTGAGCTGCTTGTGTAAGTCTTAATTGAAAATAAATTGCCATTTTTTTAGAAGGGTGAAAGTAGCTATCTAAGGTACACCAATGATCTCTTTGTGTGAAGCCACAAAGGAAGAAATAGAATCACAACTAGGAAAGGAAAATGGAAATCTGGCTAATACCTCTATCCACAACTGCTCCCTTGGTTACTGGACCACAACTGGATAATGTTCAGAGAGCCCAACTGAATGTTTTGATCAAAAGTTCTATAGAAAATTGTCATTAAAAGGGGGGAAGGTAGAAAAGTGTCATATTCTCATGGAATCTAGACATTCTGGAGCCACAGAGACTAGATTACCTCTCCCAAACTATTATCCTAAGAAAAATCTTATACACTAAAAAGATCTCCTGAAGTCTTTTATAAACTAAACAGTAGTTTATTTTAAGTAGTAAGGAATGTCTGCATTAATCGCTGTGATCCTCTAAATTATGCGTATGAACTCAAACTGACCATAGCAATTTGAAATATTACATAGGAACTTTATCAGTCAGTGACTTATGTTAATGGGGGAAGCACAATTCAGAGGAGATGGAGAACGGTTGCACAGTTTGAAGTATATGGCCAATGTCAACAAATTGTGTCTACAGAAACTTGAATGGATGTATTGCCTGTGGCATCTATTCACAACAATGACAACAAAAACCATATAATAAAATGGGAAAAAGGAGAAGAATGGATTAAGAAAGTATGATATATCAATACAATGGAACACTACTCATCAAAAATGTGTGCATGATTGAGGCTTACAGCAATAGATCAATCTGTAAGACAGTAAGCTGAGAAAATTAACTAGAGAAACAGTATAGGTCATTAATTTATATGACATTCAAGAATAGGCAAAACCAATGTATGGTTAAAAAGATCAGAAAAGGTTTGCTTCTAGGGAAATCAGTAAGTGATGGAAAGAAGTTCAAGAGGGCTCTCTGGAACCCTGGAACTAATTTATATCTTGTTTTGCTTGCAGTCAAATGTGCATACAATTGTAAAAACTCCTCAAATTCAACATGTAAGATAGTTCCATTAAGTTGTTGTTGTTGTTGTTGTTGTTGTTAAGTGTTGTCGAGTAGAGTATGACTCATAGCGACTTTTAACAAAAGATCTCAAGCCAGTCCTCTCCTGCACCATCCTCATACTTTCTGACACACAAAAGCCCATTGCAGCAGTCACTGTGTCAATCCACCTGGTTGGGGATCTTCCTCTCCTTCACCAACCCTCCACCCTTCCCAACATCATGTCCCTCTCCAAGGCTCCAAGGAATAGCACCTCATAGCAATATGTCCAAAGTATACAAGGCGAAGCCTCACCATTCTTGCCTGCAAAGAGCACTTTGTCTGCACCCTCTCCAAGACATATCTGTTCATTCTCTTGACCGTTCATGGGATGTTCAGTGCTCTTCTCCAACACCACAGCTAAAAGGCCTCAATTATTTCTCTGTCATCCTTATTCATTTATTGTCCAGGTCTCAGATGAATAGCTAGTAATCGGAAAGACTATGGCCTGTATCAGATGCACCTTAGTCCTCAAACTGACATCAGTACTCCTCAATAATTTGGAAAGGTCCCTAACTGCAGATTTTCCCGTTGTACTGCATCTCCTTACTTTCTGACTGCTCATATCAGCATAATATATATTTTCATTATGCTTTATATAAATTATACTTATATTTAGAGGAAATACTGATGATGAGAAATAGAGTAAATTACATTTTGTACTGGCTATATTGAGCTTGATGGCTTAGTGGTAAGGAGTTACATTGCCAACCCAAAGGCAGATGGTTCAAATCTACCTACCGGCTGTTCCACAGGAGAGAGATAGACAATCTCATCTTATGCAATTTACCGCTTCTGAAAACCCACTAAAGGGTCAGTTATAAGTTGGTTCTTACTTAATGGTACATAACATCTACATATAAACATTTTAAAGCAGAGTTCAGAGCTGTTGTAATTGAGTCACTATGAGTTGCAAGCAACTCAGCAGCATGTAACGATAACAACATATTGTACTAGAACATAAAGGAAAAAATATTTTGGAAAGAAATAGAAAATAAGAGTTATGATGTTTTGAAATTGTATGTAGTGAACCAAAGAATACTGATGGAATGGTTAATTTTGAATATCTATCTGATAAAGTAACTGATAGAGCAAGTAATTTTGAATGACTGTCTAATAAAGTAATTGAGACATACTGAATAATTTTCAAATTTAGGAAAATTCTTCCTATTCTTTTTTAGAAATAAAAAGAGTTTCCATATATAGAAGTGATTTAGAAAGGTTTGACACACAGAAACTGATTTTGTACTTTGCCCCTACAATCTATCAAATTACCAACTTGTCTATTTGCTTTATCTATCAATCATATTCACGGGAATGACAATTGCATTCAAGTAAATCACAACTGCAGAAGAAGCAAGATGGGGGGGGATGCGTGTAATATTGTTGGTTGTTATTGTGTGCCGTAGAGTTGGAACTGACCCATAATTGACCCTCTGGTGGTTTTCAAAGGGAGTTAATCATATGGGAGGAGACTGCCCATCCTTCTCCCACAGAGCAGCTAGTGCCCTCGAACCATGTGCCTTCGGGATTACAGTGCATCTTCTTGCCACTAAGACATAATATAGTAAATATAAGAACAAGAAATATGTTGAATAATTAAAAGTTTGGAATAGCTGTGCCCTCATTAATGATTCAAGGATCATTAGGTGCTCATAGTGCGCTATGATCAAGGAGCTCTAGTGGTAAGAAGCTATACTGCAATCCCAAAAGCAGGCAGTTCAAATCCATCATCTGTTCCATGAATGAAGAATGGGCAATCATCTCCTGTGCTATTTACCGCCTCTGAAAACTGGCTGGAGGGTCAGACATGAGTTGGTTCTGACTTGACAGCACACAACAACAACAATGAATAATTAATGCCCCTCCTAAGAGCATGTCCACATATATGTTAAGCATGTTGTGAGGAGGGACCAGTCCTAGGGAAAAGGCATTGTGTTGAGAAAGGTAGAGGGTCAGAGAAAGACCTCCAACAAAATGGACTGACGCAGGGACCATAATAATGGGCTCAAATATCAGAGATCATGAAGATAGTACAGCACAGGGTTAGGTTCAGATCTGTTTTTCATAGGATCGCTATGAGTCCTAATTGACTGGATGGCACCTAATAACAACAATTGATAGGACAGAGGAAACAACTGAAGTTTTGTGTAAAAAGATAAAAAAAAATGTTTCAATGACATTAAAGCATCAATATCATAAGAATGGTGAAAGGGAGAGAGACCATATATCTGTTTCAGGAAGATTGAAGAGCCGCAGCACTGCAAGGTCCCTTTGGCCATGATGGCGATGCGGTCACCCAGGACGTCAGCTTCATCCATGTAGTGGGTGGTCATGAAGATAGTGCGGTCCTGTTTGTAATACTGAAGGAGATCCCAGGTGATCCTCCTTGAAACTGGGTCCATGCCAGCTGTCGGTTCATCAAGTATCACCACCTGAAGACCAAAGGAACAATCCCATGACCATTATTAATAAATTCTGGCCGACTAATGTTTATACCAGTCATGGGGCATACTCTAGTTTTACTTTCTTCAGCCACTTGTCCATCTAAGTATGTTACAATAATAAATTAAAGAATCAAGGTCTCAACCCTGTGACTATATTGTCATTTTTAAGTGCTGTCAAATCATAGATGACTCATAGCCAACCTATGAATGAAAGACCTGAATACTTGTATAAATTTCATAATTTCTCCAAGTTCACAGGGTTTCTGGGGGCAAGCTATTTTGGAAGTGGATGCCACTCCTGCTTCCAAGCTTGTTTTAATCAGAGAGCTCCACCAGACACTGTCCACCATGGGTAACCATTATCACATTTGAGACATCAGTGTCAAAGTGTTCAGCATCACAGCAACCACGAGTTACCTCTGTACAGCAATGCACAGACCAGCGCTATACCACTTAGAAGAATGTCTGACCAAAAACAGTTAAAACCAGGCCTGAGGGCTGCAGATTAAAACCACCCACCTCTGGCTTGGTAGCCTCACTTTCTGTCCACTAGGCCAACTGAGCTCTGTTGTTGTGATTGTTGTTAAGTGCTGTGGAATCATAGACGACTCATAGCAACCCTATGAATGAAAAACCTGAACACTTGTTTAACTTTCCCTGCTTCTCTGAGGGGTGCAGGCCCTCAGGCCTGATTTTAATTGTTTTTAGTCAAACATTCTTCTAAGTGGTACAACACTGGTCTGTGCATTTGCTGTACAGAGGTAACTCGTGCTTGCTGTGACGCTGAACACTGTGACACTGATGTGTCAAATGTGATAATGGTTACCCATGGTGGACAGTGTTTGGTGGAGCTCTCTGATTAAAACAAGCCTGGAAGCAGGAGTGGCACCCACTTCTGAAAGAGCTTGCCTCTGGAAACCCTATGAACTTGGAGAAACGATGGAAGTTATACAAGTGCTCAGGTGACTATATTATTGAACTGAAATGGAGGATCCCACAAATGCCACTTGTTGTTACATGCCATTTTGGCAGAATCGACTCATAGCTGACCTTCCAGTAGGTTTTCAGAGGCAGGAAATCACACAGGAGTAGATTACCCACCTTCCTCCCACAGAGAAGCCAATGGGTTTGAACTGTATGCCTTTGGTTGGGCTGAGTAATTCCTAACACTTAGTGAATTCTTATAGTTGGAGCCGTAGCAGCTTTAAAGCTTGTATATAAGAAATTCTTTTAACCTACAGCACCCATTTTTAGCTTGTGCTTTCTGATTCTCTTTTACCTTGGAGCCCCCCATGAGTGCGATAATAATGGAGAGTTTGCGTTTCATTCCTCCGCTCAGTGACTTTGAAAATTCATTACGTTTTTCCAGCAAGTTGAAAGCAGACAGCATACGGTAGATTTCCAAAGAACGAACCTTCCGAGGTATTTCTTTGATCTAGGAAGAGGAGCTGGATTTTAAACAATGCTTGTAAATTTATCCTCAGGAATATTTTAAATCAGCTTTTTTCCTGCATTCCTTATGTAGTATCTTCTTGCCCATACCTCTCTTTATGTGTAAATAATTTCTTAAATTTTATGCAAATATTGATATTCATAATTAGTGATTTACCTGTACAACATAAACAGTTTGGGAAAAGGAACCTATCTTTGGCTCACCACACTATAGAAATAAAGGTGTTCTGAGACGGTCAAGTAATTAAACAACAGGTCTTGCTGGGGACACAAGCCCAGGTTTTTCCTGATCTGTAACATGTCCTTTGAAGTGTCATATCCATGAATATAGGCTTCTCCACTGGAGGGAGGAAAGAGACCTAGAATTAAACAAAGGAAACACAAAAGTTTAGATTTATGATACAACATGCAAATTATCATTTATTAACCTTAGCTTTGGAGTCTACAAATGAGAGTCAACAATAGCGCATACAAAAGAAAAATTTGGAGATGAGGCAATGGTTATTTATGGGCAAAAATATTGAAAATTGTCTGTATTTTTTTTTTTTTGTTAAACTTATATGCTGACTTACATGGTAGGTTCTAGTTATCCATGACTGTGAATATATCACTTCAGTAATAAAAACTCTAAAGAAGTCGCTATATTAGGACATTCCAATATTACCACCAACAATTTAGAATTATAAGCTGGGGTATCTGTCCTCAATTCTGGAAGACTATTTAAATCTGACGATCCAGATAATAAAAAAGAAATACTTATTTAATACCTATCTATAAGAACTCTTTTGGCCTAGTGGTAAGAAGCTGCAGTGCACTCCCAAAGGTACACAGTTTGAATCCACCAGCTGCTCTGTGGGAGAAGGATGGGCAATCTCCTCCCATGTGATTAATTTCCTCTGAAAACCTGCTGCAGGGTCAGCTGTGAGTTCCAACTCGATGGTACAACATAGTTGTAATAATTCGTAACATTTTACTGGACAATATCATTTTTTTTAATGGCTCACAAATACCTAGACTATCAATCTCCAAACATGACTTTTTATTTTTGCAATCTTTCTATAATTTTAGGTTCCTATTTCATACTTGCTACATTTAGATTTTTTAAATTAATTTTAATAAACATTTACAGAGATTTTGGATTTCCATTCATTCATTGCTGCACTTTTCTCCCTGCCCACCCCTCCCCACCAGTTCTCTCCTCTCTTTGAAAAGAAAAAAAAATTCCTTCATTGGTATACGATACCCCCCGCTTCCCCACCTGCTGCACCGAGTACACTTCTCTATGCAACCTTAATGAAAACATGCAATGGTGTCTTCTCATTTTGAGTCCTACACATCTGATTCTTCATATGGGTACCTATTTAGACAGTCCAAACTCTGGAATTATTTGCTCAGAATACACACTGAGTAACTGCGGGAAAGAAAGAATTGATGGTTTTGAATGCTGGTGTTTGTAAGAAATACTGAATATACGATGGACTGTAAACAAATAAATCAATCTTGGAAGAAGGAAAGCTGAAAGTAAGCTCCTTAAAAGTAAGTGGTGAGACTCCATCTCACAGATTTGGATATATTTTCAGGAGCAATCAGTCCCGGAAGCAAAATACGCTTAGTCAGTAGGAAAGAAAGTAAAAGAAAGACTTTCAATGAGATGGGCTGATAAAGCAGAACCCGTAGTGAGCTCAAACAGTGCTGATTGTGAGGAAGGGGCAGGGGCAGGTGGTGTGTTCTTGTGTAGCACATACAAAGTTGCTTTTAGTCAGACCCAGACTGACTGCACCTAATAATAACAAAATCACTTCAAAACCAGTAACTCAGGAATCCATCTATGTTCAAAGATGTCTATTAGAGTCATCATATATCTTAACTTATATGTGTCCTATTGTCCCGCACAACCAACCATTTCCCCATTGAGTCAGAGCTTTCGTTGTTTTAATGAAGTATTCTTGTATTATCATGATGCTCCTCGAACCCATAGTGGCTTCATGCACGTTAAATCAAAATGTCTGATCCTGTGCCATCCTCGTCTTCACGGGCATGTTTGAGCCTGGTGCAGCCATTGGCTAAGTCCCCCTCATTAAGCAGCCCCCTCTTTTTAAACCTCTACTTTCTCATGCAGGATGTACTTTAGGAGAATCTGGTCTCTCTCAATTGGCATGTCCGAAGAAAGTAAGAAGGAATCTCACCATGCTCCCTTCTAAGATTTCTAACTCTTGACAGAGATTTCTCCAAGCCTGCTTTCTTCATTCTTCTGGCAGTCCATAGTACACTCAATATTCTTTCAATTCCACAGGTAAAATATACCAATTCTCTGCCATCTCTCTTTTGCCTTGACGAGTCTTACATGTTGTTGTTATGTGCCATCGAGTCGCTTGCAACTCATAGGGACCCTACATACAATATCCCTAAACCCCTCTCTGTCCTGTGCCAATCGCACCATCTCCAATGCACCTACCCATTGCCTCAGTCACTGAATCAATCCACCTCATACAGAGGGTCTTTCCCCTCCTGCACTGTCTCTCCACCCTCCCAAGCATGACGTCCGTTTCCAAGGACTGGTCCCTCCTGGCAACATGTCCAAAGTATGTCAGACGAAACTTCAGAATCCTTACCTCCAAGAAGCAGCTTGATTTAACCCTCTCCAGGACTAACCTGTTCATTTTCTTAGCAGTCCATGGTATATTCAATACTCTTCTCAAGCACCACAGCTCAAAGGCATCAATTCTCCTTCTATCCTCCCTAGTCATTGTCCAACTCTGACACATAACACGTGATTGCAAAGACCATGGCCTGTTTCGGGCACACCTTAGTCTCCAGAGTGACATCATTGCTCTCCAGTACGTTGGAGAGGTCCCTAACAGCAGACTTTCCCATTGCAATACGCCTTTTCATTTCCTGGCTGCTGGTGCCAAGAGTGTTGCCTGTAGAGCCAAGCAAACTAAAGCTATGAACAATCTCAATCTCTTCACCACCCATCCTGACTCTGTTAATTGGTCCAGTGGTGAGAGTCTTTGTCTTCTTGATACTGAGCCTCAATCCATATTGAAGGCTGCAGTCCTTGACCCTCTTCAGCAAGCGCTTCAGGTCCTCCTCAGTTTCAGCAAGCAGGGTTGTGTCATCTGCAAAATACAGATTGTTGATAGATCTTCCACTAATCCTGATGCCACACTTCTCCTCATAGAACTCATCCTCCCAGGTAATTTGTTCTGCATGCAGGTTGAAAATGTATGGATACAGGACACATCCCTGGCATACGCCCTTCTCAATTTTGAACCATGCAGTGTTTCCTTGCTCTGTTCTGACGACTGCCTCTTGGTCCAGGTTTCTTATTAGCACGATCAAGTGCTCTGGAATTCCCATTCTTCTCAGAGTCAGCCACAGTTTGTTATGATCCACACAGTCAAATGCCTTTGCATAATCAATGAAACACAGATAGACATTCCTCTGGTATTCCCTGCTTTCAGCTAAGATCCATCTAACATTAGCTACAATATACCTAGTACCACAACCCTTTCTAAACCCAGCCTGGACTTCTGGCAGTTTTCTGCTGATGTGCTGTTGCAGTCATTTTTGGATAATCTTCAGCAGAATCTTGCATGTGAAAGCAATGATATTGTTGTATATTTTCTACACTCTGTTGGGTCACTCCTCTTTGAAATGGGAACAAATATAGATCTCTTCCAGTCAGTTGGCCAAGTGGCTGTTCTCCAGATTTCTTGGCACAACTTGGTGAGCACATCCAAGGCAGCATCTGTTAGCTGAAATATGTTAATTGGTATACCATCTACTTCTGCGCCTTATTTTTTGCTATTTCCTTCAAAGCAGCTTGAACTTACTTCTTCATCACCATAGGCTCTTGCTCATATGTTTTTTCATTAAATTCTTCTGCTTTTGTCAATTCCTTTCACTACAGTGACTCAGTATATTCTTTCCATCTTCTTTTAATAGTCTTACATGAGATGATGAAAAAGATTTTGTGTTGAGCCATATTCAACTCAATCACTAGAAATATATCTTTGTTTTTTTAAAATATTTTGAAGAGTTATTTTGGAGCTATTTATTGTTGTTGTTGTTATGTGCCATTGAGTCACCTGCAACTCATAGCAACAGTAGGTACAATAGCTCTGAACCCTGCCCTATCCTCAGCCAATCTCACTGTCTCAGACATAATCCCATTACTCCAGTTATTGTGCCATTCAGGATCTTCCTCTCCTGTGCTGTCCCTCCACATTCTGAAACATGATGTCCTTTTCCAAGAATTTGATCCTTCTGATAACATGCCCAAACTATGTCAGACAGAGCTTCAAAATCCTACCCTCCAAGCAGAAACTTGGTTTCACTCTTTTCAGGACAGACCTGTTTGTTCTCTTGGCAGTCTATAATATAGTCAATACTCTTCTCCAGGACCACAACTCAAAGGCATCAGTTCTTCTATTATCCTTAGTCATTGTTCAGCTTTTTTATTCATAACAAGTAATTGCAAAGACCATGGCTTGGATTAGCTACACCTTGGTATCTAGACAGACATTGTTGCCCTTCAGTACTCTGGAGAGGTCTCTGACAGCAGATTTTCCCAATGCGATTTGTCTTTTGATTTCCTGACTGCTAGTGCCAAGAGTGATGACTGTGGAACCAAGCAAATTGAAGCTGTTAACAATCTCAATCTTTTCTCCATTAATCATGATGTAGCCAGATGGCTTGGTGGTAAGAATCCTTGTTTTCTTGATTTTAAGCTTCAATCCATATGGAAGCTCAGTCCTTGACTTTCTGCAGCAAGTACCATTGAGGTGTTGATTGGAACCTGAGCTTTTTCCATCTCTTTGCTATTGTGAATGATACCATAAATATGAGAGTGTGTGTATGTGTGTGTGTGTGTGTGTGTGTGTGTGTGTGTATTTGTGTTGTAGCTCTGGTTTCTTTGGGGGTATATTCTCAGTCATGGAATAGCTGGGTCAGATGATATTTCTATTTCTAACTTTTTGAGGAAGTGACAGGCTGCTCTTTATAGTGATTTTCCATTTTAAATTGCCACCAGCCGTGTATGAAAGTTTCAGTCTCTCCACATCTTGGCCAGTATTTATTGGTTATTATCCTGATGAACTTTTGCTATTGTTGTTGGAATGAGTTGGTATCTCATTGTTATTTTGATTTGCATCTCTCTAACAGCTAGTGTTGGAAGGAGAAGTGGCATCCACTTCCGTAATAGCTTGCCTCCGGAAACCCTATGAACCTGGAGAGAGGATGAAAGGCACCCAAGCATCGAGGATTCTCCTTCATAGGGTTGCTATGCGTCGCCTGTGACTCGATGGCACTTAACAACAACAACAGCTAGTGAATTTTTTGTTTTATAAAAATTATTTTCAATTGATAAAGTAAGTGGTTCACTAAACAACTTATCGCAGCACTGAAATGACTATTCTGTAAGCAGCAAGGAGCATAGAAAAGTCTGACAAATTTGGTTCACACTTTATATATAAGGACACCCACGATTCACCTCGGAACAAAGTTTGAACACATACCTGAGAGAATGGAAAGAGTGGTGGACTTCCCTGCTCCACTATGTCCTAGAAGAACAGTTATCTGTCCCTCATACAAATTTAAAGACAAGTCTTTTACTGCTACTCTGGTAGTATTCCGCACTCGAAACGTCTGTGGGGGGAAAATCCACAAATACTAACTTAACTTCTATCACCATCTGTTGTAACAAAACAAGCACACACATCAAGTACTGCAGAAGACTAACACCACATTATTAATCTCATGAGTAAAAAGGTCAAAGTGTAAGGAGGACAAACTGTGAAAAGGAAATACTGGAAGGCAAACTATGAGCTTTCCGATTTCAAATTACTTATACAGACATCCCCTGATCAATCTTATATCCACTTGATTTGTACCAGCAGCCAGGATTAATGTGTGCCTGGTTCAGGCCACGGTCTTTGTAATTACTTGCTCTGCATCAGAAAGCTGGACAATGACTAAGGATGATAGAAGGAGAGTTGATGCCTTTGAGTTGTGGTGCTGGAGAAGAGTATTGAATATACCATGGGCTGGTAGGAGAACTAACAGGTTCATCCTAGAGGGAGTGAGACCAGGCTGCCCTTGGAGGCAAGGATTCTGAAACTTCATCTGACATACTCTGGAGATGTTGCAAGGAAGGAACAGTCCTTGGAGAAGGACATCATGCTTTGGAGGGTGGAGGGGTAGCACAAGAGAGGAAGACCCTGGATGAAATGGATTGACTCAGCGACTGGGGTAATGGGGGTAGGTGTGTCAGAAACTATGAAGTTGGCTCAGGATAGAGCAGGGTTCAGAGCTGTTGTACACAGGGTCGCTATTATGAGTTGCAGGTGACTCTACGGCACATAACAACCTACTAGTAGTGAAAGGCTGGAATTAACAATCAAAAAGTTTAGTGAAGATGGAAATTATAATGCAGCAGTGCTTTTGAAATCAATATTGTGTGAGAGAAGGGAGAGAAAGACAAAACATGAGAGAGAAAATAATTTTGTCAGCCGTGGGCTAACAACAAAGTCAGCCTCACAGGAAATGCTGACTTTGTTGTGACTGAAAACATGAAGGTGACTGGAACTAGGGGGAAAGGCCAGCTCTTAGTATTGTCACCTAAACAAAAGTAAATTGGGTTTGATTAGACACTAGATCAAATACAAGCAGGGAGATGGAATTTGAACTTCAGAGACGGGACATAAGCACAACCAAAAGATGTAAACAAGCTTTGTGAGAAGGAACTTCATATCCACCTGTCATTTATCACTGTGGGGATTGGACGTCTGCAAGTGAAGCTTTAAGGGACTATGTTGTACAGGGAACTCTGGTGGCCTAGTGGTAAGAATCTGCACTGCAATCCTGAAGGCACATGGTTCAAATCCACCAGCTGCTCCACAGGAGAATGGGGCGGGAGGTGCATACATCAATGATTCTCCCTTATTTCACATCACACCTATGCCGTTGTGTAGAGCAAAGACTACAGCTTCCAGTACGGAAACTGTACATCCCAACATCAAGAAAGCAAACAACTTCACAACTAGACCAGTAGACAGTATGAGGAATGAAGAAAATATTGAAATTGTCGATGGTTCTATTTTGCATAGCTCCACACTCAACTCTCATGGTGGCAGCAGTCAAGAAATAAAAATATGCATGGCACTGTACCAGTAAAACATGCATGGCACTGTACCAGTATGCTATCAAGGACCTCTTGAAAATGCTAAAGAGCAAGAATGTCTGTTTGAAAACTAAGGTCCACTTGACCCAAGCCAAGATATTTTGTACTGTTTCATCTGCACCTGAAAGTTGGATAATGAATACGAAAGGATGAAGAACTGATTCTTTTTTTTTTCCTTTTTTTTAAATTTTAATTTAGTTTGTAAGAACTGATTCTTTTGAATTGCATTGTTAGAAAAGAATGTCCCGTGGACTGGCAAATAAACAGATTCATGTTAGAAGTGAGGCTAGAATTCTCTTTTGGGGTAATGATGATGTAACTTTCTCTCATGTTTTGAACATGCTCTCAGAAGAGGCCAGTCAGGCCCTGGAAAAGGACATCATGCTTAGAAAAGTCAGTGCAATCCCTCGCCACTAAGGTCAGTGAGGTAGAGGATGGAGATAGATTGACCCAGTGATTTCAACAGCGATTTGGAGTGTGGCAGAGACTGTGAGAACGATACAAGATAGAGTGAGATTTTGATGTATTATTGGTAAAGTTGTGCACTGGACTCTACTTGAGGGCAATCTAACAACAACAAACCTTTTTTTGTTACCATATGTTTAATCTACTTTTCCGCCCTTTTTATTTTTTTAATCTATCTTTGTACTTGTGTCTAAAGTGCATCTCTTATAGAGAGCATATGATTAGCTATGTTTTCGTAACCATTCTGCTATACTTTCTTTTTTTTTACTGGTGCATTTAACCAGTTCACATTCTGTTTAATTGTCTATGTTGTTGGCGTGTCTTGGTGAATCAAAACTGACTTATATATACATTAAAAAAACAAAAACAAAAACAAAAAACAACTGACTTGTAGCTGACGGTCCATGAGTTTTTCCAGAGGTTGTAAATAGCACAGGAGGAAATTGCCCATCTTTCTCCCTCACAGAGGATTCAAACCACATGTCTCAGGGTTGGAAATGCAATCCCTTACCACTAAGCCACCAGAGACTAATTATCTATAGGCTGGATTTTACTGTAATTATTTTGCTATTATTTTTTTGGTCGTTACTGATTTTCTTGTTTCATCAGCTTTTCTGTGCTGAGTTCATTGTTGTTTTGTCTTATCATTTCCCTCATGCAGTTTTGGTGTTTCCTGGGTGTTTATTCTCCTGCCTTTTTTTCTTTAGCTGAAAAGTTTATTAATTTCCTTAGAAGTTCCCTGATAAGTTACTATTTTATTCCCAAATATAGGATGGTTTTCTGTATCTTTAAATCACCCTGGAATCATCTCCATTTAAATATCCTATGACTGCATTGCTCATATGTCTCCTGATCTCTTGACCTCTAGTAACAAGGATGTTGATTGTGGATCCAAGTAAGATTAATTCATTGACAGTTTTAATCTTTTCTCCATCTATCATGATGTTGTATATAGGTCTATTAGTGAAAATTTTTGTTTTCTTGATATTGAGATGTAGTCCCTATTGAAGGCTGTAATCTTTAATCTGCAGCAAGTGCTTCAAGTTCTCTCACTTTCAGCAAGCAAGGTGTGTCATCTGCGTTAAGTCAGGTTGTTGATGAGTCTTCCTTCAATCTTGATGCCACATTCTTCAGTGTCAACTAATTCTTTTTGGTACAGTGACATTCACTCTTGGCACCAGTAGCCAGGAAATTAAAAGGCGCATTGCCATGGGAAAGTCTGCTGTTAGGGACCTCTCCAGAGTACTGAAGAGCAATGGTGTCTCCCTGGAGACTAAGGTGCGTCTGATACAGGCCATGGTCTTCGCAATCACTTGTTATGCATCAGAGAGTTGGACAATGACCAAGGAGGATGGAAGGAGAATTGATGCCTTTGAGCTGTGGTGCTGGAGAAAAGTATTGAAAATACCATGGACTGCTAGGAAAACAAACAAATTTATCCTAGAAAGGGTGAAACCAGGCGGCTCCTTGGAGGCAAGGATTCTGAGGCTTCATCTAACATACTTTGGACATGTTGTGAGGAGAGACCGGTCCTTGGAGAGGGACATCATGCTGGGTAGAGTAGAGGGACAGCGCAGGAGGGGAAGGCCCTCTATGAGGTGGATTGATTCAGTGACTGGGGTAATCGGGATGGCTGTGTCAGAGACAGTGCGATTGGCACAGGACAGAGCAGAGTTTATGGCTGTTGCACATAGGGTCGCTATGAGTCGCAAGCAACTCGACGGCACATAACAACAACAACAACAACACAGTGACATTTCCTCCATTTGCTTTGATGCTTCATGGATCGTTCAACATTTTAACCATTAGCTTCTAAACTTGAGGTTTTATTTCCTCCCCCATAGATCCTTCAACTTGAGAAATGCTGAATGATCTTTTATCTTTTCTCCAGTTCTAACTCTGCACATTCTGCTCTAGTACTTTCCTGTATTTTCTCAAGCTGCCCCTTGGAGTCGTTTGTTCAACTCTTTTACTTCAGTGTCTCTTCCCTTTGTTTTTGTTTCTTGATGATTTAGTGTAATTTTCAGGATCTCTGACAAATTTTTTTTCTGTCTCCTCTGTCTTTGTAGTAATCTTTTGCTCTCTTCATGGATGACATCCTCAATGTCATCCCACAGCTCATCTGGTCTTCAGTCATTGGTATTCAGTGCCTCAAACCTATTCTTTTTTTAAATTCAGAAACTTATAATTTTATTTTTTCTTTCTTTTTTATTGAGATTTTAATGAAAGTTTATAGAGAACATGGATTTCCATTCATTTATTGTTGCATATTTTCCTCCCTGCTCCCCCCACTCCTTGTTCACTTTTCTCTTTGAAGAAAAGTTCTTTCATTGTTTTACAATCCCACCTCCCCAGTCGACTTCACTATTCAGCTCCTGTTCTGAACTGTTGTCACGCAAATAATACCTAATCATATATTCTGGTGGGAAAGACTCAAGGTTTGGTTCTTGTGGACTTGTTTTCATTTTCTTCCACCTCAATTTGAACTTGTAATTAATATTCTGTTCCACAGTCAGAGCTTGGCCTTGCTTTGGCTGCTGATAATGGGCTTCTCCAACAATTCCTTGCATAGATGTATTCAATCTGATGCCTGTGCCGTCCATTGGTTAAGCCTCACGTGTAAAGCCACTATTTGTGTGTTTTTTAAAGGTATTTGTGATTAATAAAAATTTTGAGCTTACAAAGCTCAACCATTCTATTTCCAACCTCATTTCTGTCACTAAGACCTTACTTTCCAACTGCCATTCCTTCTCCATTGATTTCAACTTTTGCATTCCAGTCACCAATTGTCATTAATATCCCCTGAAATGAACAGTTCAATATTCATATTATTCATATGAGGGGAAAAGGGATAACATACAAGGGGAAATGAATGCACTAGCTAGTACTATGCATCAGACTGCTGAAAAATATGGGAGAGGAAGAAATAATTAGGACCAAGACACTGGGTACTTATTACTAAGGGGAAACTGATACATTGGACACAGGTAGCAAAAGAATGTGTGCAATTAACCATTGCTGTTGTTGTTGTTGTTGTGTACTATATTGATATGGAACCAACTCATAGCTCATCCTCCAACAGGTTTTCAGAGACAGCAAATCACGTGGGAGGAGAGTGTCCATCCTTCTCCTGTGGAGCAGCTAGTGGCTTTTGAAACTGGAGCACACTCTTACCATTAGGCTACCAGAGCTCCCTAGTTAACCATTAGGGAATAATTTTGAAGTCCAGAGGACTTCTGAGGATGCATATAAATATATATTCATCTCTAGCAGTCAAAACATTTATAATGAGCTGTAAGTAAATTTTAGATGCATCAAGGGAGAAGGGAAAAAAGGGCTGGAAGACAATACCTTGCACAAATGTTTAATCTGGATACCTGCCACCAAGTCAGTAGGTTCAGGCTCAAAATACTTGCTTTCAAAGGTCTCATAAAATTGGGTCCTTTCTTTTATCTTCTCAGTTGATTTCCCAAACCAGTAAGAGCGCTACAAAAGGTAGTAAAAATACGATTACTTATGCTGAGTAAAATATCTCAGTCAGAAAAAGACAAATACTGCATAACGCCACTGTTATAAAAGAGGACTGGCATAGGGGTTGGGGGAAACTGAGTAAGAGGCGATAAATAATGTATACTGCGTTGAAACAGATGAGGGAGAGAACTGTTTAAAAGGGATATATGATAAGATATTATTGTTATGACAGGAGTCCAGAATGAAGGTAGCATAGTGGAGTGGACCTGTGGGGAGGGTTTGAATAACAATGAAAGAATTTTTTTCTTTTACTTTTCAAAGAGAAAAGCTAATTGAGAGGGAAGGTGGGCAGAGAGAAAAGTGTAACAACGAATGAATGAAAATCCAAAGTCTCTGTAAACATAAACAGTCTTCCCAGTATCCTGGAAAAGCTACAACCAGGAGAAGATAACATAGATGAATGGGACCTTCTAAGACTCAAATCCCTATGCACA